AAATTCAACTGTAACTGGGGCCTGCCGCGGGGCGGTGGCCCTCACGCCTGTAATCCCAGCACTGTTGGGAGTGGCTGAGGTGGAGCGGATCACAGGGTCAGGAGATCGAAGACCCATCCTGCTAACACGGTGAAAACCCCGTCGTCTACTAAAAATACAAGAAAGAAAAAAAGCGCCGGGACATGGGGCGGGCGTTCGGCGGCCTGCTTCAGTCCCAGGCTACGTCGGGTGGAGCTGAGGGCGAGGAGAATTGCTGTTGGAACCCCGGGAGGGGCAGAGCTCGCCAGAGTGAGCCGAGAGTGGCGACCACAGCAGCTCCAGCCGCTTGGTGTGACAAGAGCAAGACTCCGTTCAAAAAAAAAAAAAAAAAAAAGAAAAAAAAAAAAAAAAAAAAAAAAAAAAGAAAAGAAAATGAATGTGAATCAAGATTCTACACATAGCCCAACCCAGCCTTCAAATGTAAGGGAAAGAAAGACTCATACTCACAATTTCTGGAGAGGGGTATTCAAGGATGTACTGACCTGTAGCAAATTAAAAATGGAAGGAGATATATTAAGAAAATGATTGTTGATTATTAAGAAATGGAAGGGAACTAGTGCTTCTCATTGCCCAGGCTGGAGTGCAATGGCGCAATCTGGGATTACTGCAACCTCCGCCTCCTGGGTTCAAGTGATTCTCCTGCCTCAGCCTCCCACATAGCTGGGATTACAGGCATGCGCCACCACGCCTGGCTAATTTTGTGTTTTTAGTAGACACGGGGCTTCTCCATGTTGGTCAGGCTGGTCTTGAATTCCCGACCTCAGGTGATCCACCCACCTCGGCCTCCCAAAGTGATGGGATTACAGGTGTGAGCCACCGCGCCTGGCCCTCTATTTTTAAATTGACTAACATACAAGTAAAATATGTAAGTACTTAGTGTATAGTTTGATGAGCATTTATGTATACACATTCATGTAACCACCACCCGGATAAAGATAGAGAGAACAGTTACAGCATCCCAAAGTCTCCCTCACACCCCATTCCCAATCAGAAATCCAACTCTCCACCCAGATAAGTAACTACTGTTCTGACTTCTCTCACTATGGAAAGTTTTGCTTATTCTTGAAACTTATGTAAGTGGAATCATACAGTCTACAGTGTTTTGTGTCTGCTGAATGCCATGTTTTCGTGTTCTTTCCAAATAGAAACTTGAGGAGAGGCTAGAGTTCTGGATGGAGAAATATGATAAGGACACAGAAATGAAACAGAATGAACTAAATGCTCTCAAAGCCACAAAGGCCAGTGACTTAGCACACCTTCAAGACCTGGCAAAGACGGTAAGGAAGGAATTAGGGTGCTCACTGAGGAGGAAGTGGCAACTGAGCTACAGTAGCTGGGTATTGCTATTTTGAGTCAAAAGTAGAGGTGTGCTTATAAACCACGGGGATTCTTTTTAGATGGTGCTGTAACACTCACATAGTGCATACTGTGTCCCAGGTGCTACCCGCACAGCCCCTTGCGACAGATACTGTGATTATTCTTACTTTATGACCTCTGGAGACAGTCAGTGATGATTTCTAACAAGTTTGTGATTATAATTTCATTATGGAATAAGTGCAGAACTTCCTAAATTTCTTTCAAAAGTCAGCTACTGCTGGGCATGGTGGTTCACACCTGTAATCCCAGCACTTTGGGAGGCCGAGGCAAGCAGATCACTTGAGATCAGGAGTTTGAGACAAGCCTGGGTAACATGGCAAAACCCCATCTCTACTAAAAATACAAAAATTAGCCATGCATGGTGGCACGCGGCTAATTCCAGCTACTCACGAGGCTGAGGCAGGAGAATCACTTGAACCGGGAGGCGGAGGTTGCAGTGAGCCAAGATTGCGTCACTGCGCTCCAGCCTGGGTGACAGAGTGAGACTCTGTCTCAAAACAAAAAAGACAGCTACTGTATATCTACATTCTCCCAAAGTTTTAAAAAAAATCCACATTGAGGTCATTGATCACACATTAATTCGTATTTCATTTTTTATGAAAGACAGAACTTAAATTTGAATTATTAAAACTGAAAAAGTTTTGGGAACAATTATAAAGTTAGTATGTGAGTATTTACAATCTAGGAATCTATTACTTTTTTTCTTTGGTTTATCTTTAGATGGAGCATGTTTTATTTTGAAATTTTATATTAAAAGTGCAGGGCTGGCTGGGCTACAGCTTAGTCAAGAGAGTACTGTAATAAATGATGAATGTCTATCTTTGCAGATAAGAGAGTGTGAACAGGTCATCATTGAAGATCGTATAGAAAAGGAGAGGAGCAAGAATAAGATAGAACAGGATCTCTTGGAATTAAAGAGCGTCATAAAGGTAGAGAACCATAATCAGTATCTCGCCATAGCTGGCCTAACACTGAGGAACACAAAAGAATTTCTCATTCATTATCAAACGCATCTCAGTATACCAAGGAACTGCAAATCTGAGAAGCATGGACTTTTGTTATTACTAGAATTTGCTGACACAGTCCATGGTGCAGGGAGACGGTTAACATAGAAAAGGACGTGCCCCCAGCTCTTCATCTGGAGAAAAAGAGGTGGTTAGCGGTGGAAGCAAAACCTAGGCCCAGAGACGAAATATAAGAATACTATGTCTAACCAAAACCAGCTCTTGACAGAATGATTCCTTTTAATCTCCTACTTCTTAAAATCCTGCTTATCCATCAGCCCAGACTATCTGCTGGGTTCTGATACAAGCTGCTTAGGTGGGGAGGATAAGCAGCAAGTTAGAAAAAAATAGAGAGATTTTAGTTTTATATGAACTTGTGTGTATCAGTGATGATGAAACTGGCAGGTCACAGATCACGTGAAACACTTGTAAGCAAAAACTTAAAGCAGCATCAGCTGGATGGAAACTGTCTGGAGGACAGCCCTTCTCTCTGCAGGCTGAGACCCTAGTGGGTAAACCGTAGTTTGGGTTGTATATTAGGGGTGAACTAAAAGGTTTATATTTACATTCTGCACAGGTATCCAAACCCAAAGTTGAGTTTTCCATAAGGAGTCAGATGTGTAAATAGCAAGAATTAATCCAGTTTCAATGGCATTTCCGCATAAAACTTGTCAGTATTCCTGAATTTACAACAGACATGTTAAGAACGAGCTGAGGAGCATGTTTGCTTTCTTTTCACTAGTGGATTTGCTTCCAGTCTTTAGGGTTTAGTCTGACTTTAAAGCAGTGGAGACTGTATTGAGAACAACTGTTATTTAAAAACTAAGATATTCAAGAAAGCTATCTGAATCTTTTAAAAAAGTGCTAGGACAACTGATCTTTTCAGCAATCACTAAAGATATGAAATGCACAAGCCTCTAAGACTCACCTAGACTTATCTGTGCTTTTTTTTCCCTTTTGAGACAGGATCTCACTTTGTCACTCAGGCTGGAGTGCAGTGGTGTAATCTCTGCTCACTACAACCTCTGCTTCCCGGGCTCAAGAGATCCTCCCGCCTCAGCCTCCCAAACAGCTGGGACTATAGGCACAAGCCACCAGGCCTGGCTAATTTTTTTTTTCTTTTTTGTATTTTTGTAGAGATAGGGGCTTGTCATGTTGCCCAGGCTGGTCTTGAACCCTTGAGCTCAAAGTGATCTGCCCACCTCAGCCTCCTAAGGTGCTGGGATTACAGGCATGAGCCACCGCACCTGGCATTATCTGTGCGTTATTGGCCATTTGCTTTTGCCCTTGGCCCAGGTAACTAACATTCTTTTTGGTTCAAATAGCTGTTAGGTATGGGGAACCTGGACTTTCTTCAAGGAAAGCAGTATAAGGAAGTCAGATTTCTAAGGGTGAAGAAAAAATAGGCCAAATCCGATTCCTTTGATTTTTACTCCTTGAGAACTTCACTCTTGAGTCCATAGCTTAAGTTCCGGGTCCTGCACAACAGGAGAGCATCGCTATAGTGATTACATCCCTGGCTACTTCCATGTCCTGGAGAGAGACTGTTTGTCAGACAGAAGTTACTTTATTCAACAGTCCCGTTATGAGGAAAGAATGCAGCTTGTCAGGCATACAATACGTTGTACTCACTCCCTTTTTCTCTTCCAGCTCCAGGCCTGGTGGCGGGGCACTATGATACGGAGAGAAATTGGTGGTTTCAAGATGCCTAAAGACAAAGTTGATAGCAAGGATTCAAAAGGAAAAGGCAAAGGCAAGGATAAGAGGAGAGGCAAGAAGTGACCAAGTTCTCTTCTGTCTTTTCCTCTGGTATTCTGGAGGTGGGAAGGACTTGAGAGTTAAGAAACACCTGGTACCATCAAAGATGACTCATCTACAGGTTGTTTCCTATTGAGACTTCCCCAGGGAAGCCTGATTTCACTCTGCCTGTTAATTTCACCCTGCCTGATTTCACTAGGCCTGATAATTTCATTGGGCCTGTTAATTGCTCTTGGCCTGTTAATTTCACTCTGCCTGTTACCTGGGTTTTCAAACCCTGATTTAGGATCATACCATTGACTTAGGGCTTCCTCATCTTGCTGGGAAGAAGAGTTTCTGGTAGTCCTGTGAAGATTCATTGTTTCTTTTTCTCAGTGAACAAAGCAGTTCATTGGCTTACAGTGACGCATGAAAACTTCAGTAATTCCTGTAATGTCTGATTCTGATTTTACCCAATTTGTAGTGAAAAAAACTCTTATGAGCAAAAGTATTCAGTAGGAATTACAAGATGATGTTATTAGCTGTCCAGCATAATATATACACAGTAAAGTTTTAATAAATGTTGGTTCCTGCCTGCCTTTTAGATTTATCGTCACTCTGGTGTTTTTATTGGGGTGAAAATGGCATGGAACACATAACCAGTTATAAGCTGCTTCAGCAACTTTTCTAGGAAACAGGTATACAAATTATAAATACAAGCTAGAAATAGGATGTTAGGATATACAGCTTTACAAACTGTAAAGATGGGACACAGGTTCTCTGGAAGGCTGGTTTGGATATATTTTTGACAAGTGAAACACTAGGGCCAATACCTGCTTTGCTTACTCAACAGTCCCCACTTTATGGAGTGTTAAGATGAAAAGAAATAAGGTGTGTGAAAATACCTAACCTGTGCCTGGCAAATAGGAAAGCTGTCACTCTCCCTCTTCTAGAAAAAAATGAGTCCACCAGATCATGCTTGCCATGATGAGTCAAAACAATGCCTTGTGATGCTAAAGGTTTCCAAGAGAAAAGTTGTCCTAATGTGTCACATACATTTCATGAATTAAGCTTTCTATCTACCTAACTCCAAATAAAGCAGTCTTGATATCTGTACTTCCTTAAGAAAATCAACTTGATCTCAAAAGCCTGTCCTGAAGCCGCCTGTTTCCACTAACACTCCTTCTGGAAAGGAGATGCCCTTTCCTTAACTCACCTTTGCCAAGGGAACCACACCTCAGGTATGAACACTCTCCAGTCAGCTTTTATTACATGCCACTGAAGTATTGGCTTTGATTTTAATGTCAACATATAAAGTGGCATACAGGCAATTTAAAATAACATACATGATACTGATATATTTATACTTAGAACTTATGCAATATATTTACAGACATACAAACATAGGACAATGTTTTACAAAATCTTTCACTAATTACATGTTTACAACATTTTCAGAAATAAAACGGAATTTGCTGTAAACCATCTCACTGCACTGTGTATATAGAAAGACTTCTGAATATCCATGTTTTCATTTCTACAACCATTTAAGTGCTTAGTTTTTACGAATTCATCAAACTCGTCAGCATAGTCACACATCATTAGTCACTGCTGAGCTGTAGAAAGTAAGAGAAATTGCAAACTCCTAGATTAGCTGTATTTTAAAAAGCTCTTCAGGAAAGTGATCCACTACTATGCTCTGTGTTCTAGCAGAATACAAAGGCCCCTCTTCCCATGGGTCGTTTCCAGACCTGGCTATTTTTACAAGAGAACACTGGAGTGCTAAACACAGATTACCAGTCTGAAATTGTGGGAAACTCCTGACAGAAAATCTCTGTAGGTGGCAAGGGCTCTGCTCAGGGGGCTCTCAGCCGCCGCCCGACACTGGTCCGATGGGAAGGGCCGGTCTGCTGGGGCAGCTCCTGAGCTGCCGACACTGTCAGTGATGCGGAAGGGCTCTGCTCTGGGGCGGCTCTCAGCCCGCTGACACTGTCAGTGACGGGAAGGCTCTGCTGGGAGCGGCCTCTCAGCCACTGACACTGTCAGTGACGGAAGGGCTCTGCTGGGGCGGCTTCCTCAGCCGCTGACACTGTCAGTCGACGGGAAGGCTCTGCTGGGGCGGCCTCTCAGCCGTTGACACGGTCAGTGACGGGAAGGGCTCTGCTGGGCGGCTCTCAGCCGCTGACACCGTCAGTGACGGGAAGAGGGCTCTGCTGGGGCGGCTCTCAGCCTCCGACACTGTCAGTGATGGGAAGGGGCTCTACTGGGGTGCTGTCAGCCACTGACACTGTCAGTGTATGGAAGGGCTCTGCTGGGGGGCCTTCAGCCTCACAGTGTCAGTGATAGGAAGGGCTCTTGCTTCAGGTCAGGCGAGGCCGTGACAAGGTCATCTTCATCTTACACTGGAGTCAAGCGACAGCCTAAATGTTAAACCAAATTGGCGCGCGAAGTTAAAAAACCGGTACACAAAATACTGAATACAAAATTCTCCCAACAAAAGCATCATGATTTGTTTTTGCATCTTGACACCAAAAAGAAATTCATACCTTCATACCTCTGCAGAGGGTCTGAAAAAATCAGAGGGTTTGGAAAAAAAAAAAAAAATTCAATGTATTTGATATTTTTTCTTCAATTATCAGCCAAAACTGCACCCAGTTTTTCCTAACAATTCAAATACAAATCTCATTTAGTTTGATAAAAATACATTAATAAGGTTTCATAATATGTGCAAAATTTGAAATAAGCTGAAATTTTCATTTATTCCTATGGGAAAATTACTTGCAAACATGGCAAGTATTTCATTATGTAACGTACAGCTTTACAAACTGTAAAGATGGGACACAGGTTCTCTTTATGAGGAAAGAATGCAGCTTGTCAGGCATACAATACGTTGTACTCACTCCCTTTTTCTCTTCCAGCTCCAGGCCTGGTGGCGGGGCACTAT